TTTTTAATTATCTAACAAACTGAGGTCTTGAGTTTTTACCCTCACAAATAGGGATTAGGAATAAAAACGTTTGTCAGCCTCCTGAGTTAAATCAACTAATAAAAAATTACAGCTTTTGATAGTTATTTTAAGAGTGGCGGCCAGGCTTCGAAAAATTAAACATCTAAAAGTATAACGATTAAATATTTAATGATATACGACTTTCGTTTAAATCGTCCGTCTTACTAATTTGAAAACAAGCAAAAATTGATCCGACTTTAAATGTATACAGAGTTATTTCTATGTGCGTAGCCAAAATGAGGCGTGTAAAGTACTTTAAATCGAAGCACTCTGGAAGGATTTAACAATAAAAATCATCAAACTGAAGTGTGAGATTTTGTTAGAAGAACAGAACCTACCCATTCCCTATAGGAATTGGTCATATCTTGATAACGTTTTTTTTTCTTCTCTTTCCAGAAGATTTAACTTTAAAGCGTTTTCAGAAATAAAAGAAAAAATATAAAATAAGATAACAAATTGAATGATTCCTTTTACAACCATCCGAATTTTCTAACAAATAGAGAGTAAAGCCTGTAAACGTAAAATAATTTCCCATTCTTTCTCAAAATAAAAATAAAAATGTTCTAAGTTACATGTGTTCTAATGATCAAGTGCTAAGTTTACAACAAAAAATAATTTAATGTTTTGCTATGTCACAAAATATCTCTCACTTGATACCTTACAATTGAATTACTTGGAAATTGATCATAATCTCGCTTACGAGCGAATAGTTCATGCTGGGTGGATTATCCGGGCTTTGTAGCGTATATATACAGTTTGAACAAAACCTAAAACAAAGGGTTAATTTTGGGAGAAAACCTTTGATGTTCTGAGTTGTTCATTATTGTAAACATGCATCTTTTAACAATATGCAAGAGCAACCTTACATTTTATATTTCCTTTCACAGCACAGAAAACACTAAAGATCTGAGGAATGCAAATATAGATATTCGTTTCAAGTTTCTATCACTTTTAAGGAATGGCCGGGTGGATAAGACGCTCGACTCACAATCTAAGGGTCGCGGGTTCGAATCCGCATACCACCAAACATGCTCGCCCTTTCAGCCGTGGGGGAGTTATAATGTGACGGTCAATCCCACTATTCGTTGGTAAAAGAGTAGCCCAAGAGTTGGCGGTGGGTGGTGATGACTAGCTGCCTTCCCTCTAGTCTTACACTGCTAAATTAGGGACGGCTAGCGCAGATAGCCCTCGTGTAGCTTTGCGCGAAATTCCAAAACAAACAAACAAACTTTTCACGCTAATCTCCTCTTCTAACAACATGCAAAATCGACAGTATGTCATAGGTCTCCGAAGAAATGACAAAAACATGAACTGACATGATTCTACTTGTATCAGAGCATCAATGTGGTATACGCTAATTATTCGAATCTTGCTCACGGAGAAGTAAAGAACAGAGCGTTTTCTTGTTCGATGCAGTTTTTGTTCTAGTTTACTTCATGTGTAATGTTTTATTCAGCAAACACATTATCAAAACATCTTACATGATCATCAATGATACGTAGATATTTGAAAATAAACATTTAAGTTGATACGCAAAGAGTAAGTCACATTTGGTCTCTGTCCCATTAACCATTCATTTTAATTAACAGAATCAACATTGACTATTATTACCGCAGAGTGATGCACATTGCATATTTTTAAAACATCAAACAGTCTCCTTACCCTTCAAATTGCTAACTTGATTTTCTTGCGTTCGCAACAGCAACATAGTGAGAAGTTGTAGGTTCTTGTTTTTTCTTTCATTTTACAGCATTCTTTCTAAAGAACTGACCAAAAAACTGGGTGAAATCACTCATTTTCTATGTAACATACATAAGGGATTCCAGCAACTAATTAGTAGGACTATCTACAATGTTGTAACATACATAAAATATCCCAACACTAATTAGTAGGACTAACTACAATAATGGAAGTTTTTGTTTTTGTGTTTATTTTCGTGCGACTTACGCGTTATTAAAGACTCACAAACAGTTTGATACATAGATAGTTAAGAAAAAATAGTTTAAAAAGCACCTACGGACTTCACAAGTTTCTGGTTGATGATTTTCTTAACAGTCATTAAATCTGTTAGTCGTCTCAGTTTTACATATTGAGTTTTCATAAACGCCTCAAATTTAAAATTGTGTTGGTTGGAATATTGATTGTGAGTTTGGATTACTTCTGTTGGTTTTTATATTTGTATTCCTTGAAGCAGCTTCAATTAAAGATCGATAAATGTACTGTTCTTTCTTTGGAAGTTGGTATTGTTTCTTGACTGTACTGTGCTACCCAAGATATTTAGTGAATTGTTATTGGAATTATGTATTTTCATGATTTACTGTGCAATAATATATTTCGATTCCTTCGGGTTTAAAATCGATCCTGCTAAAAATCCTTACTTTTCACATTACAGTACTCGTAACATGTATTGCTTTCCGAAAAGTGCTTTCCCGCGCACTTGTATCAAGTTTGTGAGTAAACATAATAATAAATTTTGACAATGCTGAACTTTTAATACTTCTTCATTCCTACAGAAAATATGACACTGGAAAATTTGGCGTATAAATATTTAGATTGATTGAATGTCCACGAGTTCATAATGCGTTTTTCCTAATAATTTAATGACTTTATAGTTAGATATTACTTTTTGTGGCAACGCTAATGTGATATGAATGTCAATGAAAGTTCAAGAGTACATGGTTATATTGTCCTCTATTGAATTAAACTTATAAATCAAATTATTGACAAACACTCAATTATATTTTTAAGAGATAAAATCTCGTAGCAAATAAACTACTAGTCAAGTGTAATAGCTAAAGCTTAAATGTAATTTTGTTTAAAAATGAATGCTCTTCCATTTTAAATAATATGCTTTAAAAATCTTTTTACATGGACGTCTCGTGTGAGTATTGTATTGTTTATTGTGTTTCTATTATCATGTTATTGTGTTAATAACTCTGATTTGTTTCATCATTAACATAGTTTAACATTTATGTCCATTTATCAAATTATATATAAATTTGCATTATTACTGGTTAGTTTGCATCATTACTGGGCCGAGTGCAACCTAGTGATTAGTTTGTATCATTACTTGGCGAAGTGCAATCCATTGGTTATTTTGCATCATTACTGGGCCTAGTGTAACCCAGTGGTTACTTGGCATCTTTGCTGGGCAAAGTGTGGCCCAGTGGTTAGTTGGCATCTTTGCTGGGCAAAGTGTGGCCCAGTTAGCATCATTACTGAGCCGAGTGCAACCCAGTGTTTAGCGTGCCGGACAGTAGATGTGAGGTTCCTTGGTTCGCGTCATATCGCGTTCCAGGGGCCGAGGGTGAGTTATAAAAGTGATTGTCAAATCCCAGTCTACGGTCTGACAAGAACAGCCCAAGAGTCAGCTGTGAATGTTACTGTCTTTCCCTTGTTGCTGCTTTCCCTTTATAGTCTGCCACTTCAAAATTATGGACGGCTATGCCAATTCAAACATTCCAATCTAATGATATATTTCACCAAATCTGCTCGAGTAGCTTTCCACGAAGTCTAACAGAAAGACACAACATCCTGTTAACACGTCAATAGATTATCATTGTCTCTGGTATGTTCATGAATCATGAAGCAAAAAAATCTAAGATGGATGTATTATACCAATAAATACTAATTATGTTTTATTATACATCACCGAGATGTTCTGTTGTTATTATTCATTGAGAAATAACAAAGTCTGTGTAATAATATCATTAAGATATCATAAGCTTTGATATTAACACATCATTGGCTCTGATTTTTACAACCCTATAATAGAGTTGTTATGAAATTGAGAATTGTTTATTGTTTGTTTATTGTTTATTTGTAATTAAGCACAAAGCTACACAATGGGCTATCTGTGCTCTG